CATAAAGAAAATACATTATACACGTAAGATCAATTGACAATATTGCATTTAAAAGACATTCTCCAGCATGTAAGTATATAGATATATATCCCATATCACATTTAAACATCTATTCGTATGTTCTTGTGGTCTGTTGCATAATAATATTTGCTGTTAGATGCTTTAATTATTCCAAGCCAGCAACAGTTATATTTCAGAAGGAAATGAAACTTCAACCGTTGTGTAATCATCACTGCAAGGCTTAATGTTGTCTATAACAGAAACAACATTTGTGCAGGTTTTTGTAGGAAGTTAGGTGGAGACAAGGAATTGCAAAACTATGTGTTTTTTTTTCCAGATTGAGTTACACTAAAAATTCAGTTTTATGTTCTCTTTTGAAAATTGTGAATGTTTGGATAAGTGTTAAATCTGCTCTGTGTAAAGTATCTGCAGCCAGATTACAAAGTTGAACATAATTTAAGCAAATACATACATAAATCAGAAGTCCGAGGAACACTTGGCACACCACCGCAAATAGCCAACACGTTTGTCCTTTCATTTGGAGAATATTTACTCCTCTACTATGTGTATGATCATTAATTATTCAAAAATGTTACAAAAGACTTTTCCACTCTTCTTTATACAGCAGCTTAAACAAGGACAGAGACTTATTTCTAGCTGATAATTTGTAAAATATTTTCAACTTTCATTTTCTTTTATGAAGGAAGCAGTACTGTAATTACAGTATTTTCAGATGTTCATGTAGAAATCTGATATGTGTTATTAATATATTCTCTTTGTTAAATACTTACTTCAAAATACCCCTTATATCAGGCACAAAAACAGAGTGTGAATTTCTCCTCACAGCTTTTGAGAATGAAAACTTTCTACTAGGAAGTTAAATATACGAACTAGCTGTGCCAAAACCCCTTTATTCTGCTTTCTGACACATTACTAATTTGTAACAAAATATCTTTTACTTTCTATTAAGATTTATAACTTTATTATTAAGGTATTTTCTTCTATTCTCATCGTGAATACAATGCACTAAGTCCAGCATAAGCTTTGACCCAATGTGAATTAGAAGATTATTATTATTCTGAGAGAAAATTTTAAAGCCTAAAGTCATTTTGCAACTAGCTGTCAACAGAAGTCACTAAGCATTTCATGTATTGGCTGGTAGCTACTATTATAGCCCGTATTCCCCAGGAACACCTCAAATTTCCTCTAAATTACATTAAAGGCAATAATGACTTGATTTAAATAAGTAAGGGTAGAAAGCTAAGAGAAAATAAAGCATTTATCCTGCTTTCTGATAGCTAGATAGATTTATAAATAGATTTACATTTTCACAGAGAAGTCATGCCTGGAGTGTATCTTTGTCAGTGAACAACTGCACAATTTTAATAGCAAATGCCTGAAACAGGAGCAAATGTCTCTATAATACTCTGCTGAGGGCTACAAGAACACATGTGCGAGCTCTCCTCTCAGCTTTTTTTTTGTTGATGGACTCCAGAAAGCAGATAACAGGTATGGAGAAATGCTATTGCTGCTACGGAGAAAGGATTAAGGTGTTTTAAGACAAAAATCGAGGTTTGACATGGGGAGCTTTGGGACAAGGAAACTGCCGAGCCATTCTGGAGCACGGGGTACCGCTATATCCAGACTAGCTTTCCATGAACCACTGTGTGCAGTCTGGCAGAGGCAGCTCTGTTTGTCAGGCGAGACAAATTACTCCACCAAATATAGCTGGATGCCTAAATCCCCATCCTGCTACAGCCAAGCTGTTCTCATTATCCAGGCTAGTGCAGGTGTACAGATGCTGCGCTGCCAACTTCTTCCAAGTTTTATCAAAATGTTTTCGAAGAGATTTGCCAGCATTTTAGCAGCATTTTTGACAGCTTGAAGTATGCAGCTTTGGGACCTACAAAGGGAAGCCCACTGAATGATGAACCTTTTCTGTACAAGAATGGGTGAACTTCAGGGAAGGGTGAAGAAGTGTAAACAAACAGATTGCTGTGACCAGCTTCGAGCCGGAATCTCACACGATGCCTTACCGTTAACTTGTGCTGGTGACAGTACAAAGGCATGCTCTGACAGCTTTAATCTGGCCTACCCCTTCTTGACAATATTACAGCTCTCGGGAAGGCTGCTCTCATGGAAAGGTCACGGAATGAGTACAAAAGCACACACAACAATCGAAGAAGTGCAGCCTGACGGAAGCACATTCAAGCAAGCTACCGAGAGCCAAAAGAAAATTAAGTTTTCTGCAAGCAGAAGTCAGCTGAGAGAAAGAATATGCTCCCGCCTCCTCAGAGAATTTTTAGAATGAAATGTCTGGCTCACTGAGAGGATGACTCTTAACAACCCAAGAAAACAAGAATATGTACAGGTCTTCAGGGTGGTGGCGTTTTATTTATTTTTTTCTTAAACCAACAACAAGGTATTTCCTCTGCTACAAAAGCCTCAGAACATTATTTAGAAGCTGACAACCCCAAGTCAGTAGGCTCCAAAAAAGGGCAGCAGATTAGAGTTCTGTGGTGTCAAAAGATCCCCAAACAGGTGTCCCTTTGCCCACTTCATACTCAAAAAGCAGCAAGTAATCTTTTTCCCCTTGAATTTGCATAATCTTCTACTATTATCAGCTGCAAGGCAGAATTGGCTACTTATTTTCAGAGGTGTTTCAGAAGATCTCAGGTGATGGGCAGGAGTTAATTGTCTAACATTGAATTAGGTGCTCCCAAGTCCTCAGAATATCCACTGACACCAGGTGTTTCCAGCCTGAGCTTTCTGAAGAAACTGGTATTTGCCTAACTGTTTAACAAGGAATACACAGAAGGGTGGCCTAGAGAAGTTCAACAATCTTGCGAAAACTGTTACATTGCTTGTATCAGTTTCCACTAAAATTAACAGATAAATATAGTTGGAACACTGTGTTGCCTGCTGGATCTTGAGAATGGGAGGTGTCAGAAGTAGCAATAAGGTCTCCACCTAAATGAAGGTGAGGGCACTGCCAATAACACTTGCCTGTACCCTTGAAGCAGAGATAGATCTGCTTGCCTGCACTACACTTGAAAAGTTCATTTCCCTGAAAGGGTAAGTGCTCTATATAAACACTTGCATGCCTTATGAAATCTGCAGAATACGTCAGGACTAAGTAACAGATCACTAACAGTGCCACAGCCATGTCTACAAAGTCTAAGTTACTCAGCTCTGAGTGAACTACAGGACAAGTATGCCACTAGTATTTGTTGATCTGAAGTTACGTAGGCACTTATTCACACAGAATGTCTGTCCAACAACAAAAAGTCACACGTTGCAGGAAGTGCAAGATAGTGAACGTCAAGATTCACTGATAATTTTCCCTTCAAAAGAGCCATTTTTTCTTTGGCTATCTCTCAAAAACGTTCTGGCTTTTTGTGATAAATCCTGTCCAGTTCCATCTATGTTGGTACTGGTAAGGTAAGAAACATCTGTTCACTTACTTACGTATCTCAGCAACCTGTTCCCTAAAAAAATCTTGCTTAGAACTTCAGAACTAAGATGGTCTAATATGAGCCCCTTAATATTGCATAGTGCTGAAGAATCTCACTTCAGCACGAGGTTATCTAGCATACATGCATAGGCTGTCTACTTGAATAGATGCAAAGGCAGCATGTCACATTATTATTACATGACCACCAGTACCAATTTAATTTTGGTTCTTTGAGGCAGACAGGAAAAAAAGGTCTGCAAGTTCTCTGTAGAATTGTTCTCCCTATTACCCAAGCAAAAAGACAAAGCTGCAGAGCAGGCAGAGTTCTGAGTATCCTTTTGGCTTGCAGGTTTTGAATGACCACAGCTCAATTAACATTGACATTCGAGGTAGGCATTCAATTCCTTGCAAATGTCACACATCTCCCATGTGGTTTCAGCCTGTCTATTGTAAATTCATTCTGCAAGGCGCTTCGGCAAACTTGTAACACACAGCGCAGTCTCTCTCATTAGCATTAAGGCAGATGCTTTTCATGATCACCACTGTACTACTTCACTCTTGAGAATTGCTTTCACTTCATACCTACAAACAAAGAGGGTCTGACCGTGCATGACAGACCAGATCCAAGCAAACCTGTTGATGCTGACTCATTTAACACACTTATAGGCACTTAGTAGTTTAAATCCATTGTCTAACAAACAACTCATTTCTTAGTATATTAAGAGATATGGCCAGCATGCACTCTCACATGGCAGCCACAGATACTAAGGAAGAACTGAAAGACAGCTGATTCTGTCCTAGGTTTCACCCTCAGTAAATTCAGTAACTTTATTTATACAAGGCCCAGCTTCAACAAGCATTCTAACTGCAAAAAACCAGTCCTGATTCAAGTCATCTGCAGAATTTCTGTGGACAAGTAACTAAAAAAAAATCTGTCATGTATGACAATATCACATTAGCCTGAGACTTCACACTTATTCAGGAGTTTTTCAGTCTCTATAATTAGATTTATTTATATCCCTGCAGTACCAGTGCTCCAAAAGCCTACGGTCTAGTACTTTGGTGCCCAGGCCATCTGAGAACGCAGTAAGGCTCAGCCATTTAATGAGTCACTTAAACAGCCGTAACTACAAGGTAAACTGATGCACTCAAGGCACCAGACCTAATCAGTATATTTATGAGGAGACTGGGAGAACGTCCGAGTTAAATTTATCCTAGGATCACTGCTTCAGTTTTAACACATCACTAAAAGTCCACTTGGAGACTGATATCCGCTCTACTTGCTTTTACTGCACCATACTGGCATGTCGTGTTCAAAGAGAAGCGGTGCACCTGCTGAGGAATATCAGGAGTGATAATAGCTTTGAATCTTCTGCCAAAGTTTTAGATTTGCTCTGAATGATCCTACAATGTATTTAAACTATTACTTAAGGTAAAGAAAAATCCTCATGGTCCCCCAATTTTATACTCTAGCCTAAGTTTAAAACATTATCTTTTTTTAAACCAGCTACATTCTTCTAAAACAGTAAGCGCACAGCGACAGGCATTTTAAACAAGTACTTGTTATTTATTCACAATTTAGATAAAGTTTAAGGAAACACAAAAGAAATACAAAGGACAACATCAAAATGAAAAGGAATTTTAGTGACTGAAGTGAGTTTCTACAGCCAGTGCTGCTCTCCATACATTTCAAAATGTTATCCAAACACTGCAGATGCAGATTTCAAATAAATTCCATAACAAACCGCTGTGACTATTCCCTTTGAAATTAAACTGGGAATGGAAGTTAGCCACCTTTTGTCTAGGAGCACACAAACCACCAAATTCTTTCCGTTTCTGCTCAAAGCCACATTTACCTTTTACAAGATGGATTCTGCAATACAGATTCAAGTAGCATTTTTCATTTTGTCTAAGCTCTGCTATAAAAAAAGTCAGGGTCAGCCTTCTGTATAACAAAACAACTTTTGATCTTGCTTGTGGAATATATGCAATTCAGAGCAGTGTCACACTTGCAGCTTGGAGGTATCCTTGGAGATACTGCAATGCTTCTGCATTCAGACTAGTACTCAGCATTGATGGAACCTTAAAACATACGATAGAGCAGAAGTGTCAATGTGTGTATACATTAAACTACTGCTATATCCTGTTAATCACTGTGTCAACATATGGTACAAAGTCAATGTCCTGAGAGCAGCAGTTTTTCACTGTGAAAGCAGTTGCTGGAATTACAATTCCTGATGCTGACAGTTCTACGTACTACTTATCTGAATCAAATATGAAAGCAAAGTAGAGAAAACCTTCAGTTATTAAAGCAGATATTTGGATGCAGCAAACACCAGATCTCTCAGGCAATTTACCAAAATCTTGAACAAAACAAATATGCTACAGGTTAGAATAGTTAACTGTAAAGTGAACTTGTTTCATTTACTGTGAGTTGCCTGAAATTTCCTGAGTACATATAATTCAACTGGAGACAAGTACTAGTTGTATACCAATAAGAGGATAAATTTTCATTTAAGAAATGACCTAAGGTTATTGCTAAATTAGCTAATGTGAAAATATGGCCGTTCTAAGGTTACTAGGGAAAAAACCTTACAAAAGCTATCACAGAATCACAGAATGTTCGGGGTTGGAAGGGACCTCTGGGGATCACCCAGTCCAACCCCCCTGCCAAAGCAGGGTCACCTACAGCAGGCTGCACAGGACCTTGTCCAGGCGGGTTCTGAATATCTCCAGAGAAGGAGACTATATTCCATTAAAGAATAAAAGAGAGCAATACCTTGCATTCTGGTTACGATATGCTTCATTTTGCTGATTATGAAGCACTAGCAAAAGAGACCCATTATCAAAAAAGCATTTATTCTCTGCGGAACTTAGCATTACCATGCCATGTATGAAAGTCACCTACCCTGCCAGGGCATGCTGTAGACAGTTTGTGAAGAGACTGTGCCAGATGGATTCTAGGATTGTTCACCATTTGACCTACAGGATCGTGCTCTTTTTTCCCAGCAAAGGCTAGCTGAGAGAATGCAGTCTGATATCCTGGAGTATCTTCTATGTCAATGAAGTGTTCTTCATCAGGGATAGTGTCATCCTCAGGCAGTTCAAAGAGGCCAATGAGGGCCTGCAGCAAAGGAGTCCTGTATGTGAAGAGGGGAAGATAAAATTGGAGTGCTTAAAATATGCTAGGACAGGGTCCATTTTATAAGCATATTCAAATTACTTGGAACCCTTTACAATTTAGCCCTTGCAGGTACTTGCTTAGCTACTGAAATTATAAGTGCCCAAACTAAGCTGGACTTCAAGAATTGTGCATCGGTGTATTTTACAGGCATAATGTAGGTGCTCATATTAAAAGCATGAGCAATGTATTTATGTTTCATCAGGTCAAATTATCATGAAACATACCTAATGAAAGCAATTCTTTTCCAGATTACACCTTTTCCCCAAGTACATTAAAAAAAAAGTTCTAGTTCAGGGATCCAGTTATTGTCATTAAATTCAGGCTACCTGACATCCTAGACTGCTGGACTGGCTTACAATCTTCCTACATAGCTCCCCCCAAAATTCTACTGTCAAGCTAAGATCTTACAGTCTCTGTCAGGTTATAAGTATGCTCAGGTCTCCTGACTAGCAGTACAGTTATAAGTAAAAACTAGCTTTTTAGAAAGAACACAAGCCAAAAGAAAAAAGTTGTGTATTTTCTTAAATGCAGTCCTAGCTAGCCCAATCAGTGCTATCTCCATCACAAAAATCTCAAACCAGTTCTGGCATCTGCTTTGAAAATAATAGTTTTTATTTGCTGAAAAAAGAAAGTGGTATGTAGTTTTTATTTGCTGAAAAAAGAAAGCGGTATGAAAAGCCTGAAACTCAGCCTCGTAACAATAGCAGGCCTGAAGAAATCACATTCTTCACATAAACTCCATTGTCTTTTTATGATAGGCCACATCTTCAAAAACACAAATAGCCTAACAGAACTTGAAGAAGTGTTCACATACCACAGCTTCGTGTACTCAGTGTCCATCATAGGAGGACATTCTGTTAATATTTTTGTAATGCCAACAGCACAGATTTTCTTTTCAACTTGTCCAGACACTTTCTGGATTTCAGGAATTATAATTTTCTCCAAAACCATTCCAAACATCCTATTATGACATTAAAAGAAAAAGTATTAGAAAGCCTTATCAGCCTTATGGTAATAAAAGAAAACCAGAAGCAATCTGAATTGCTAGCAAAAAGAGAAAGCCAACTAATCTGTTAAGATACTGTCCTGTTGCAGTGGATGCCTAGTTTGTATGCTCAAATTTCTACTTTTCAGAAAGGGAAAAGAATAAACACATTACTTTCTCCTTTTTATGATCTGCTCAAGAGATTAATATCTTGAACTATTAACAACGAACTGCGGACAGCAAATCTAAAGAAAAATTGCTAGACAAATAAGTCAACCACATTAGAAGAACCATTTGGCTAGTCAAATTAGTGACAAATACAGTTTGCAATTTTAAGTAAGGGAGACAACTATTTCCTACTTTAAAAGATAAAAATTACACAGCAGTCTTAAATAAAAAAAATACATATATACTAACTTTGGCTGTATGCTGTCAAATATTTCCTGCAGAGCTAATGCCCCATATTTTATGCAGTACAAGTTAATGAAGACTAAGAAACCTGTAAAAAGAAAAAGGTCAAATTAAAACTCAACATGAAAACAAAAGAATAGCTTTAGAATCAGCAGCAAAATACATTCGTACAAGTTTTCCAAAGGGATACAAATGGCAATCTTTATAAATATTCAGTTTTAGTGAAGTACATTAACTTGCTACCTTGAAGTTTGCCTAAAAACTGCTGAACTTCTCACATACCACACCCTACTAAAACATGGCTGTAAAACAACTAAGACAAGATTCAGTCCTTTTTTCCCCTTACAGCAGTTATAAAGCATTAGAAAAGCCATCTACAAATTTTTCAGATCAAGGACCAAAAGAACTGCTCAATGCTTTTAGCCAAAAACTTCATGCAATGCAGTTTTTCAGATCAGTAGTGAAGCCATTTGCATGGCCTTTGTAACAGAGCACAGAGGCAAGGCATTAAAAGCACCACTTATATTTTACTTGTGGAAGACGATGATAAGCAATCCTATCATTCTTGCTCCTATCAGGTGGCATTAAACCATATTTTATAGGATTAAGTAATAGACATTGCATAATTTGTGTAGTGATAGTATTATTAAAATCATCCAATCAGTATGACAATAATCTTCCTGTTACAGCAGGAATAATCAGAATATGTATTTTCATTAATTTGTCAGAGCTTTGCTAGTTTAACACAAAACTGTATCAATAACTTGTCATACTAAGGCAGACTGACACAAATGCATGAAATATTTAACAGTAATAACACACAACTATATGTAAACAAAAGGAAGTGTGGTCAGTATTACTGTGTTGTGTGAGAAAAAGTTTGCTGGTATTAGTTGAAGAGTACATGGAGACACTTTCAGATAACCAATGGTACCACACAGAGTAAGAAAGTAAGAGAAATACACAAGTCTTTTCCATTATTTTAGTTCCATCCCTTCAGTTTTCATGAAATAAGTGTCACCTGCTGTGGCAAGTGCCACCCTTGATTACACAAATAATTTGAAGCAAGGTACTGATGTTAAGAGTCACTAGTGTCCCTTCATCCGTATAATCACAGGACATGACAGGATGGTTATTCAGTACAGGTGCGTGTTCTAAACTGTTGCCATCACTGGCACTGAAGCTGTTCATACAGCAAGGAACTTACTTTTAATAAATTTTGTTGTTTTGGAATTTTGAAGTCTTTGGAATAGTAGAATGAAGATCTGTTTCCTGTACTGGTCAACTGATTCACTGGAAATTTAAAAGAATAGTTATTCAATTCATATTAGGATTTTACTCATGTCACTTCACAGAAAACATGTGTAGAATTGTTCAAATCTATTTTACCGACAACTGTGACATTTTTCAGTTGTTAAACATTTGCTATGCAGTGTACAAATATACCAAATCTCAAAGTCTACAGAAATTAGTTCTGAAAGCAATTTCAGCTCATACTCACGGAGGCATATGCTCTATAATGCTGTTTAGAAGATAGAATCCTTGATGGTCATTAGCTTTAGAGGCAATCAGCTTCTGGAACACACCTAACAATCCAGGCTGTAAGCAAAGCAAATATAAAACAACAGTTCTTCATATGTGACCTACCAGAAAGCTGGCCCTTACGGTTTAAAACCTACACCAATGCAAAACCTTTCATAATGTAAAATGGCATTCTGTTTCTGCACTTAAGGACAAGGAAGACAGATTACTATTGGGACCAAGTACTGTTCCTTTGAGCATTAAGATTAACCTTGATCAAACGAACACCAAAGCCAATCTGAACATGTATCTCTGCTTTATCCACGGCATTGCCTACTCAAGTCTGACCATAGCAGATAAAGCAGCAGAAATAACAGAAGTACGCAGAATAAATCTCCCACTGAATTCACTAATCCGCAGCTCTCCCAGCATCTTGACTCCTCCTCACTCTCTTCTCAAGGCTGTTCTGAACAGAATGTCTGAGAGTTTTTCCGATCCAGTGTTCAACACGAGGCAAACAAGACAGGAAAATTGTGGAAATTTACCTGCTTGCAAAAACTAAGCGCAGGAATTTTACATCTTAATTGACAAAAGCATGACAGTCTAGGATTTACTTTATCCACATAATAGAAAAGCATCCAAAAAGCCTACATCCTTACTAATTTTTGTCTTTCTGCATAAGCACCACTAATTTAAACTACAAGTATAAATCCTGCACAAATCCAGCTATTCACTGAAGGTAAAAGTTCCTCCTAATTTTAAATCCTAATTCAACATGTCTAGAGGCATACAGTGTGACTAAATCAATCCAACTTACAATTTTGTCAGCAGCAGCGCTTGCTATTGTATTGGCACCCCGCTCTAAATAAGCCTGCAGGAGTCGGACCAGAGGAGGAATGTTTCCTGTCCTTTCCCATAATACTGGCTGAAGTAGATGAGGAAACAATGCCATATAGGATGATGGGATTTCATTTTTATGCATTTCTAGAAGTAGGGACATCACTTGAAATACATATGGAATGAACTCTGGAAAAGAAATGATGGCGTTTACAAATTCAGCAAATACGGTCACTGTCAATTCCTAGGAACCATGTAACTGTTGATTGAACCTACAAGTTTACGATATTAACAAAAAGATTCCAACAAATAAAACCTTGGGGAAATGTATTGCATCCCAAATGTAATTATTCCAAAAATTTGCAAGCATTGTATATATACAATTTCCATTTCCTCTATTTGTTAATGTTTCAGAACATGGAAAATGAACTACTAGAAACAAGGCAATATAATTAAGAATAATAAGAAGCTTTGGAGTAGTCGTCGTTAGACATTTTTAAAAATAAGAGTTTGTTTTAAAAGTAAGTTAATACAGTTGATGTACCCTATGGAACCACCTAGATGCTTCCTAAAAGTGTTTCTTAGGACTGTGAACATGCTGCATTCTGACTTAAATTTCCTGTGTTACCGAAAAACTGTTATGAGGTAAATCATAGCAACCAACTATAGTAGAGAGAGAGCACAACCACTTACTGATTTTAATTTACCTTGCACATCATTCTGTAGTATCTCAGTGAACACCATAAACAAAGCCTCTTCAAAGCTTCCAACTGCATCAGGGTTTGCTTTGCATGTTATCCTTATCGACAAGCATATTGATTCAAACATGTAATGGTTAAAGTGAGGTTTGCTTGGATTCTAAAAACAAGTTATAAACAGATAAATCAACCCAAACTTGCAGCCAAGTCACTTATTTAGCAAAACATATTTTTTATTTTAAGTGAAGTCTAACATAGCAATTGGGAATAAGGATACTTATGATTTATTTATTTATTTGCTAATAAAGTTAATTCCACAGATAAAAGCAAACAAAAACCTTTAATGCATAAAGAAGGGGTGTTTTTTATAAATATTTTTAAGACAACAAGTGTTTTTCAGAAGCTCTACATAAACTAGAAAATTAGTTCAAGTACCACAAAACAAAAACTGGAAAAACATATTTTTCAATCCTGCAAGTGTCTAGTCAATTCTTTATTGAACACTTCTTATACTTAGCAGGTTAAGTTTAAAATATACACAGTAGAAGTTTTTCTGGTAGTTGATGAAGGTATTCTAAAGCATTCCCTAATGTCAACGTTCAACGATATCAGCTCAGCCTGAACAAAAAACTAAAGGATTTAACCCACAAAAGGCAGGAGGGTAATTTATTTAATCTAATCCCACATTTCAGTGCTAAATTTTATACTAGCCTCAGAAGCTTCACGGACAAAGAATAAAGGAATTGTGAGAAAAACAGATAATTGTAATGCTGGCCTCTGCACAAGGAAACATTTATACTAGAACAAACTAGTATTACAGAAAGATATGCCGTTTCCAAATGTCAGATAAGAGCAGGGGAAAATGATTTGAAAGTATGTCCTAAAAGGAAGACAGTACTTCACTGGAAGGCTGTTTTTACTTATTTTAGTCAGAAAACATTGAACAATTTACAGTATTCTAACAGAATACAAACAACAAGGTATACATAAATCTTTAGAAAGACTGCTCTAAAAGGTAAAAATTGAACATTTTGCTCAGCTAGCCCGTTTCTTTACCTTACTGACAGCCAGCAGTTTCTGTGTAAGCTGTGTGATGACAGAAGGGATGTATGGAATTATGGATTCCTGTAGCAGAGAAAAACTCCTCATGATGGCTGCAAATAAATTCAAAGTATTATCTTCTGTAGACAAACACACTTCTGTCATCCATCATACGCCTAAATCCTTTACCTTTTACTATTAAATCGGATCCCAAGGAATTAGATAGAGGAAGAAAGACCAATCGCTGCAAGAGCAATCATCTACAATCATGACAAAGGATAAAGCAAAGCCTCATTATCCCCATTCGATAGACGGAGCACAGAAGATTAAACAACTTCGCAAAGAACATCATTTATCTTTGGCAAGTCTCAAATCTTGGCACACTATTAGCCATAACCCACTCAGATCTCCTACTGACACTGCTCCTGTAGCTGTCCTCAATACAAAGACTACCATTTGAGAACTAATTTGTCACAGTACCATTATGTTTAGTGTTTCTCTTTGGTACAATAAATTTAGTCAAAGATGACTTACTACAGCCTGGTAAATAACTGCAGGCTGCGCACACCTCTTTAGCATGTTTGCATAACGCAGTATTTTCAAATAAACATTTCAGTAGGCTGTAACTATAAGCCTTTATTTTAAGTTAAAGTTACTCTTACATTGCAGAACTCAAAAAGCATTTACCTTTCATAATGTATTCATTTTCAGATGAGCCAGGAAGCGTCAGTGCTTTAAAAAGGTTCATTAATAGCACTTCTACAAATGGTGCCATTTCTGCAGCTGTAATGCTGTTAAGTGAAACACAGCTCTTTAAAGATGAAAGATATTCACAAACTTCAAGCATTTTACAATATTGTAATACTAAAAAATATAAGATCTCCTACAGATATTTCTCATTCCCCATGGACAAAACCTATGTAGCAATGAATTCACTTCTGCTTGAAAACTTACAGGGTAGTATTATTTGTCCCCCTCATGGTAAACAGTCTTTCAAGAGCATGGGCTGCATAAGTATGGACCACAATACTTTCTGCTTGAAGATGATTGATTAAAAGAGGAATAGATACCAACAGTTGTTCTTTAGATACCTACAAAAATATAGCAACAAATTATACATGTTACGTAAAAATACAGATGGTTCAACACTAGAGCATAACCACCCTGAGCTCATCAGCTACAAACTGAAAGCTTGGCAGAGGAAGAAATCTTAGAAGGCTCCTCCAGTTGCTAAATCACACCTTGACAACCAAGACATACCTATTTCTGTCAGCGCCTGTATACTTCCCCCGAACATCAATGTTGCATTTGATTGTCAGTAAGTGCATATAATCCTAATGTATATTTCTTTTTCCATTTTACTTGGGCTTTACGGGCAATTCAAAAAATATCAAGCTTTAACAAAAAAAGCACAGATATATTTTGGAAGAGGTGAGCAAAGGTAATCTAAAATTTAGAAATAATACTCAATATTTATTGCACCTCACAAATCAGAAAAGGTAAAGGACAAAGTTGCTGTACTCTATTTAACAACTACCGCAATGATATGAGCAATCAAGTATATTTAGACATTCACTTAAAAAGTCTGAGTGTGTCACAGAACTAAGCATGCTAAGATGTTCAGTGCTCCCACGGCATATGGATAGCATATAGACTACATGTTAGTTGGATATTTATAACAATATCATTTACTTTCAAAACTAAAAATTCAGCATGAAGTGTTATATATGACTATCAAACACTTGTTAACATATGGCCAACTAAGATAAATTAGGCTTGGCAAATATAAAGTAACAAACTACAATATGTTTTTACCATAAGAAAAACTTACTTGGTTTCTAAAAATCATTATATATTTGATACCATCTGCTTTTAGCACAGGGAATTCATTCACTGCAATAAAAAAAATTGAAAGTTTTGTTGATACTTTTCATATAAATGTGACTACTGAACATATACTATATAAAGAGGTGACATTAAGTCATGATTTTTCCCCTCAAAAATAATACACACAATGTTTCTCTATGTTGCTTAGTTTCCGCATTTCTGTATCGGCACTGTTAGACAGAATATCATTTTTAGATACAAATCATGCCCCAGTACCATTAAGTGTACAGTCCAACTATTGCACATGAAATTTCCCCTTCTGGCTCAGATTTTAACAACCTCCAATCACATATTCCAAGACAATCCACTACGTTCCAAATATCATAAGATAATTGCTGAAGCATAAAATAAATTACATGGCTTAAATCTAGACATTTGTAATCTCATCAGTATGGGCTGATACAGGCTACAACCTAGCCTCCGGTATTTTTGACTTCTCAGGGTTTCGTATAGCATAGAAGTCTGCCATAATGTCTCAAATACAGAAATCAAATTACTCAGATTCAACAAGTTTAAGCATGTAGCTGATAGCAATCATGCGCATACATGCTCTGATCTTGCAGACAGCATGTGGTAATCCACCTTTGTTTAAAAGCTCATTCATTGCTGGCCAAAAAATTTGAATTACTTTCCGGCGTGCCAGGTGTTAGCAGTTTTCTGTCTCAAAGATTATGCTGATATATGAGTGCTTGAGCCTCATCAAGCGATGGTCACTGTCAAGGTTGTAGATGTATCATAAAAACTGCCATATTGAAATTAACTTACCACTAGCGGACTTTAAGTCAGGTTGAATGTGATTCACGAAGAATTCTGTCAGATTAACAAGTTCATTGGCTTGTGTTATTCCATGCTAGAAATGCAAAAAATAAACCGACTCTGGTTTTAGATGTTGACATTCAGATAATTTTCTTACTTATTTCATGTGCTTTTAATAAAAGGACTCTAAAGTGTGCATGCACGTGATGAGATTGTTGCAATTGCATCTTTAGCAGAGCGCCATCCAGTTTCTCTTTCTTCCTATTTTTACTCTCTAGGTTTCAGCCATAGCACTACTGAGGTTCAAGTTACCAGCTCTGAGTTGAGGAATAATAGCATGTAACACAGTAATAATCAACCAAAATTTATGACAGAAAATATCAACATCTTACAATACCTTTTTGTGATAGGTCTTTTAAAACGGAAAAGTTCAGGACTCAAACTCCAATTCAGAATTAGAGCAGCAAAATAACAACTACCTAATTTACGAAAAATGCAACTAATTTTTAAAATAGGATTTTCAGATAGAACGCTTGATTGATAAATATCCAAGTGATGTTATCCCATATTTGCCACTAAATAGCACAGAAAAGAAAGATGCACAACTCACAGCAGTTTTCTAATTGCTAGAAGACTCTGGTTCACATTATGCATAACTGTTCTTAGCAATTGCTGTGCAGTAGTATACAACCAGAGTTTTAGGAAAACACAGCAAAATTGCATAAAGACACTGTACAACAGGCTTTACTATGTTTGCCTCAAACATGTCTTGTAAAGCCACTGAGATTTGAACTGTAATAACAATTTAAAATGTTTATTAGGATATTAAAATCTGTTCTGTAGGACATTTGATACAATGCTACTGTTTCCAAATAACAATTTAGCTCAGTTGTGGCTTTTCAATGCATCCAGCCTTAGTTGCTTTCTCCCAAACAAGTAATGAGATCCACTTCCAGCCATCATCAGCATTCACATGCCATTTCCAAATCATAAACACTCAAATAACAGGAAACATAATGACAAGAACTGTAAGAGTCACTGAGATTCCTTCTAGTCTGCTTAACACTTCTGATCTTCTGTAAAGCTGAATTTGGCCTTCCATAGCTTACGAACTCTGGCTCAGTAGCATTTAAAAACTCAGAGCGTCTAGACCCAAGCTAATTTTGTTTGTATGGCTGCTTCACACACGCTAATAAGGCCTGCCAAATGGTGACACACGGTTGCTGATTTTGCCCAATCTATCTGAAGATCAGATACCACCAAATTACCAACTGTGATAGGATTCTATAATGGACAACTTTTAATCTCATCAACATTAAACTACTACAAATAGAGTTACTGTTATTCTGAAGCAGCATAAAATGAATTGTAGTCCTCATATATGCTATAATATTTGAATGTATATGGATTAAAATGAATAGAATGACAAAGTACCTTCTGTGTTTGAGCTTTGGATGCCAAAGATGTAACAAGGTAAATAGCTGCATCTTTGTGCTTCCAGTTAACAGATGGATTCTTTGCATATTCTTGCAGCATGGAATTAACATATCCAGAAAAAATCCCTGTCACAGGTCCTTCAAAAAATTTGCACAAGCCTCTAACTAGATCACAAGCTGCTCTGCGCCTGGTGTCAATATCTGCATGAGAATCAAAGACACTTTGGATATGAGAAAGTATACAGCTTTTCATATTAATCAACATAATAATAATGTATTCATAATATACAGCTTTTCCAGTTACAGCCAGACTTCACGTTAATTATTGCAATCCTCCACACTGATGCATAAGAACACATTTAAGTCTTATACTTACTGTCATAATAGAGACTATTTGTACAATAAAAAAGAGGAATGGACACCTACCAATTCTGCATGCATATTCACAAGTTTTACTGCCCTCTAAAGCAAGTTTCAGTAAGCATGCAGGGGGAGGCTTTTTATTACGTTGACAATTACGCCCCCAAATCTGGTTGGGATGGAGTTAATTTTCTCCACAGCAGCCCATATGGTGCTGTGTTTTGTGCTAGTGACTAAAACTACTGATAACACCCCGGTGTTTTGGCTGTTGCTGAAGAGTGCTTGCACAGTGTCAAGGCTTTCTCTTTTTCCTTCCCAGCAAGAAGGCTGGGGGTGGGCAAGAAGTTGGGAGGCGATACAACCTGGATAGCTGATCCAAATCGACCGAAGGGATATTCCATACCATATAATGTCATGCTTAGCAGTAAAAACTGAGGGGAGAGGGTTTTGGGGAGGTAGCCACTGCTTAGGGACAGGCTGGGCATCAGTCTACCTGTGGGAGGTGGCGAGTCATTGACTACTTCCCCCCCACCCCTGTTCTCTTTTCTTTCTTCCTTTCACTTTAATTGTCTTTATCTCTGTCCATGAGTCTTCTCACTTTTACTCTTCCTATTCTCTCCCTCCTCCCCTTGCAGCAGAGTGGGGAGTGAGCAAGCTGCTGTGTGGTACTTAGCTGCCGGACTACCACACTGAATCAGCACATTTTCGTGAAGAAAAAACAAAGAAAAAAAAAAATTATCTGTAAAAATTCCTTGTTTCAAGAAAAGAAAAATAAACCCCAGCTGCTCTTTAGTACAATATACTAAGAGAAGTGACAGGAGGAAAACAAAGCAAGTCAAACACAACAGAGTACATTTCTAAAGTAATCTCTGAAGAACACAAATACCTCTTGCCTCAATTATCTTAAAAGCAGAAGTGCCCAACAAATACAAGCTTCACAAATACTTAAAATGCAGCCAATCCTGGATAAGAATGATAAAACATTTGTTTGAAAAAAAGTTCTAAAACATTTTATTCCTATTTTTGTCCTCCACTGCAAATCTACAGTAATTTCTGAAATCTCTTATGAAGTGTCATTAATCTAAAAGTCAGTCAGTAAACTGTTACTGGCACAGAACAGCATATACAGAATTTTCATACAGATCTGGATTTGCTCCATTTGTGCTCTGCCCTGGTTGAAGACCAGTCAGCTACAATCAGATAATCAAGTAGCTCTGTTAGCACAGCACTGTGTTTTCAGGACTTTTACTGTACTGGTTTGAACACAGTGCCAGTGTACAAGGGCTGGCTGGTGTCCAGCTGGCTTGATCACAGATTTGTATGCAACACTGGTCAGAATTTCAGTTTAAACATGACAGCCTACTAAATACAGACACAGGCTCTTCATGTTATTTAAAACTCTGTACATAGGAACTAAATACACAACTGCGGTCACTATTTAGCACTGACTTACAGGCTATATTTGCTGAAATGAGAATGGGTGCAGTGCAGGAGACATACCAATCCAATTAAGGAAAAAAACTCTGCAAAAATTGTTCAAAACAAAAAGACACTGTGATGGGCACCTCGTTAAGTAGACTTGATCAAAAACTGGATAAAATCTCCTGTGGGGGAGGGAAAGTTCCCAATTCAAAAAATATCTTATAAAAGCTTCAGCAAATTGCTTCATCTCTTTAGAGCTATATTTAAAGACCAAGTATTCTTAGTACAAATCAGTGGATTACCAGATCCTTCCAAATCCCTTCTTATATATTCTTCAGAATTATCTTCAAATGCTTCTTCATCAGCCGCTGAAAATATAAAATACATAAAAGTTTAAAGACTGACGTCTCTGGGTTTTTTTTTATGTTAAAAAGCTGTATTATTATCAACTTGCTATTTTTTCTAAGTACTTTTCTATAACATTAATAAAAAATAATTAGAAACATGCAGCCAGACTAGTCTGTTTAGCTTGCTGCTGCCCCACAAATTAGTCTTTCATACTCATAGGCTGATGTATTCCCGATTTAAAAAAATAAAGAAAGAAAAAAAGATGGGACATATTCAACACTCAGTATATTTAAAGAGGCTTCCAGAGTCAAAGACTTAAGAGAGAGAGAAGCTTCTTGCCATTACAATACATCCTCACTGCATTTTAGATACTAGGATTAATATGAGCCCATCAAAACTTGGAGAAATAGACATTACAATTTAGTAGGCCTGATATCCATGCCTATTTAGACTCCTTGAATTATTCCGATATTCACTATAATCATGAAAAATTATTGCCGGCATATAACCTAGGCTTCCTATACTTTTCAGTCTGAGATCCCAGTAAGACAGAAAAATTATTAGATATATTCATACAATTCTACAAAGCCCATAGGACAGCAATCTGTTGTAGAAACTTGGTTTTGAATCTAGTACTAAGGTACACAAGAGGTAATCCTCAATTCTTAGTCCTGCAAAGCCACATATCACTATAATTACAAATAGATTTTATTGTGCCTTTGAAAACTTATGTCTCAAAAAGTTACCTCTAAATTCCATATTGGGAACAATAACTTTTTCACAGATGCTTGTCAATGTATTCTGGTCTTCAAACAGGTGCTTGTAATGTGGTCTCTCACAAACTGAGGCCAGAAACTGGATTGCATTACTAACCAGCTAGAACAACACAAACAGAACATGTACAATTCTAGCATGACTGACCACTTTATAATTCATTATTAAACTTGACAAAATCAGCTTATAATAACTTACCAAGTCATATTTCACTTCCTGGCCTGTTGTGACTAAGAGATTCCAGATTGCTGTTACAAAACGTGGCAGGTAGGGCTGGAATTCTTCATCATATTTTTGAGCATATAAAGCAGCATTATCACAAATCTGTGATTTCAGGAGCTCCAGTAATCCAGCTTCCTCTTCATCCTCACATAAAACAAAACTAAGAACTTAAACATCCAAACTTCAACACTACTTAAGTATTAGAAGTATCAACATATTTGAAGGAAATATTCACACTACTATTTTACCATGTTCTAAATAGGTGAGAGAAAGCCCTCTCACGTCCCTAGAAGTACTGTATTTTGCGGATTTGTACTGGAACTGCACCGCAAGTTATAAATTAGACCCACACTTCAAATGAAAGTACTATGCTTTTTAAATCATTTAGACCTGACAAAGTTTGATATGAAATTAATTTACAAATGCAACAGGAAAAAGATAACACAAGGTGTTGAAAAAAATATGCTTAGAAGACATCGTATCTTGCTACTTTAAATTGGAATAATTGTAAAAGTAGTTCCCTCCCCTTCACCATACCAGCACAGATGCTTGTGGAGCCACAAAACAAAGTGAACGGGGAAACTGAGCTGGACGTAATAAAACCAAACCAAAACAAAAAAACAAACCAACAACAAAATACCATCCCAGCTCCATCTCTCCCCCCAATCCCCACCTGTCAGTTTTAATCCCTATCACTTTCTGACTCAGTTCAGCATGCAGCTGCGTGAATGTTTGTGCTGGGCAACAGATCAAAGACACAAGAGAAGATAAGAGAAGAGAAAAGAGCAACAAAGCTTCTTTTAGCAGCAGCATTAGCCTAAAACAACGATGAAACTACAGCACAGGATACACTTAATATGCCTCCCTATGTATTATAAAGAAATTTATCAGTTGCTTTGGCTCCATCACATGGCAAACTATTGCACTGCATGTGGAAGACAGCATATCAAATGAAGAAAGGCATGCACAAAATTAATTTGAGCTTTGATGACTTCGTATCATCTTTCACTTGTGAAATTAATCATTCTTATAATTAGACAAAGTCAGCAAATGCTAAATGAAAGTACTTAGGGATGTCATGCCTTCTACATTCAACTGTTTCAAGTTCTTTAAGATATCCTGTTTTCTAAAACTCATAGTGCATGAACCAGCTGAAAGGTATAGAAAACCCAAGCATTGTGACTCTCTAATGATCAGGTTACTTCAGCAGATGTCCTCAAAAGCATCTACTCATGGATGATTTCTGTGCACAGCTGCACATACCTGTATCTGAGATATAACTTCAAGAACCGGACCTCAAATTTCTTAGACAATGGGGCAATGTCTCTTAAACACCATTTTCTTATAGTTATTTTATTCCTTTTTTTACCCAACAAAGAAAACATTGGATTGTTCAGAGTTAGTCCTAAGTTCTCAGTCAACCTTCTCCATTACACAGAGGCAAACCAGGAGGTTTATGCAGTACTTACATCGGTCTGTAAAAGTTTATTATCTAAAGTTAGAAGACTATGAAAATTTGTCATCCATGTTTCCATGTTATCTTCAAAGAACTCAGGAAGATCCTGTGAAGCAAAAGCACAAATGTACATTTTCATTTCTGATTGCACGGCTTAGATAATACACCTACACTGTAAGTAGTATGTATCCACCTGACAATCTATTGAGGGGCAACAAAGTGTGGAAAACAATCTTCAAAATGAAACACTTGTCTCCTCCTTCTCCCAAACAAAAACCCTGGAGAGGCTTTGGAATACACTGTTTCCAAATAGCTCACACCCTACATAGCCTACCGTTTTATAAAGGAAGAACCTTATTGCCTCTTGCTCTTCAGAACAAGAGAGCACAAGCCTCTCAACTCCAGCTTGCTCTTTTGCCCAGTAGGGAAGAACAGCCCAAGCAATCCAGGCACAATCATCACACTTCACAGACCTCTGTTTGCGTTGAGACACTAAATACACGTCACCTCAAAGTATCTTTTTACCATTTTTCATATACCGCATTTACCTACTAAAGTTAGAAATGTAGATCTGATTGCAAGACAAAAAACCCCACGCTGCTACCAGAATTACTTGCTACTATAGTGTTACAGAGCTACTAGTTTTAACTGACTTTCATCTCCACAACTGAGTTCACGTCAGTATAGATGTATTTATAAAGGAGCACAACGAGTACAAACTCAGGCATTTGACTTCCGTCTTCCACAGCCCATACTCTGCGAGCTACCCATACAACACCTCCTTGCTATGACAAGAGCTTAGAGTCTCTTGAACTTCTGTTTAGATAGGGCCAAGCTAACATGTTAATTAACCCCACCCTTACTGTGCCTTTACTCCAGCGTTAATGCAGACTGTCAACTTTTATTTTTGCGATAAAGCATGGCCTTAAAGGCTGCCTCAAATGGATCCTATAAATAAGAGCATAACAGCTTTGTGAGATCAAAGCAAAACTATTAGAAGAACACGGAGATTCACCTGAAAGTTTAAACTGTAGAACAGCTTCGCAATAAGAATGAGAGAAGAAAAGAGAACCTTCAAAGCACTAGCATCATTTGCATGTGTGCTGCAAAGTTCAATAGTTGCCTAGAAAAAGACATAAAATTCAGTCAAGTAACACACATACACACAAACTACGTTGATAAGAGGTATTGAAAAGTGTCATGTAACACTTCTTTTTTTTTTTAAACAGAAAATACCCTTCCTTTTCCTCCCTCTATCAATCCTGTCAGGTTTCCCTTCATGACGTTAGTTTGAACCTTGTTAACAGTTTCAAAGCAACTATTCTTCAGTTTTCATTTTGCAGGCATTCATAATGAGCATTTCAGAATGCTAAACTTGTTTTAGAAATGATTCAAACAGAAATACCTTAAAGAGATTTGTCAAGGGCAAAGCAAAGGCATCAAGAACAAGTTTGATCTCTGTCCATAATTCATTTGACTTAAATTCATGGCGATACCTGAGAAGTGAAAGAAGTACACAAAAAACAGGAAAAAGACTTCACATTTATTACCAAATTAACTTGCAGACAATTAAATTTTTTTGTGCTGAAACTTGAAATCTTTACTGCCAAGTAAGCAAGAACTAAACAACATAATTCAATACCATGCAAGATGTACAATTTAACAAGCACTTAAATTCTTATTAAAAAGTCAGTAACTAGGAGTCACAACTGTACACTTTGTAAATCTACAAAATTAAGCCTGACAGTAAAAACTTAGAGTAGAACAGAAATACACAATCCATATACTAACTCCCTTATTTCCAATACCTTTTAAATAAGGAGTGAGCAGTGCGAAGGACCCCATTAATGACATGGAAATCTCCACTCTGAAAGCGATTCACCATTTCTGTCAGCAAGTCCGGCCATTTCTGAGGAAAGTCTTCACGACCAATAATACTAATAGCATCACTTAACTGGAAAGGAAACATAACCATTACATGATATAACAGCAGGCTCCTCATTACCAAAACCACAGCAGTCATGGCAGATGTTGCAAGTATTTAAGAAAAATGCTTATTATTCTTGTCACATTCAAAAATCATGGGGTTAAATATCTACTAGTTTTCACCACAAATAAATAAATCTCACTTCAAATGTAATGTGTACACACAGTCTCACCTTCTGCAATTACTATGTTTAACTGCCTAATGCTAGAACCTAGCTAAATATTTTACAATAATTGCCTTTAAAAAAAAAAATCAACATTGAAGTAGGCAGATGTAGCTGTGTCAATATACTCCAAGTTAATTGGACTGGGATGACTTCACTGGTAAGGGAACTGAGCCCTGCCAACAATCAGAGCCTCTAGACACACTTAAAATATTCCAAAAGTCTCATAGACATAATCGGGATTTGACACATTACCTGCTTTTGAATTTGTTCTGGGCTGCTAAGCATCAAGGGCACTATGTTGGCTTTAATGGCTATCCTGTCCGATTCACATATTTTGTTCGGTTCATCCTCAACCTAAAAGTAAAACAATAGTTAAGTCATGGGCACATCAGTATACTCTACAAAACAAGCGAATATCAGCATTTCAGAACCCAATTGCTTACACTGACTTCTGTAAGAGTGGGTGCAGATGCCAGTAACATGTAAATTTAACCAAGTCTCCTCTTCCACCGCACCGAACCACATCTCTGTCCTCACTTCTGCCAAACTCAAATCTTTATTTTGTGCAAGCTGCCTCAAGCCATACATTCTAGAAACTGTACATGAAGGTGCAGGTTACACCACCATATCATTGACTTTAAGTTCTCTAATCAGTTTGAAGTCCGGTTAGTCAATAGTGCCAAGTGGTAGTAAGTTACAAAATTTCTACTAAAGAAATAAAATAATGAGGCTTGTCACCACCCAGTGACAGCAGTGGTAGTCACATTATCTGTGACGACAGCACTGAAGTTCAGAAACCTAGAAATTACCCAGCAGTTACAAGAGGTAAGCACCTCCAGAGAGCAACTCAACAATCTTAAGATGCTTAAACCAGATGGCACTACTACCTCCCTTCTTAACTCCCTTTCACCACCTTCCCATAAACTTACAAAAGAATTCAGTAACTTCAAAAATTCAATAGTTATGTTTAGCTATAAACAAGCAGTTATAAAAATAAGACACAAAGGACTTGCTTTCCCACTTCTATCACATTGCACTGAATCAGAATGTACAGAGTCATTGTATACATACATTAAAAACCACAAAAATATGATGATCTTTAAAACCTGAGCTTTACAAGTTTATATTATGTAAAAGGCAGCAATAACTGTACTTAGGCAATCTCCAAGTAGGGAGGCAGGACTCACTGCTATGCGTTTAGATAGATAAGGACAGAGCTGGCGGAGAGATCAGCAACAGCAAATCCTACTCCTAAGAGTTACTTATTAGATTTTTCAAAGAAATGAGATCTTTTTGCAAGACATGAGAGGCAGCGCATAGATAAGTATTCTGTATATTAAAAATAAATTTAAAAAAGCAAACTCTTCCCTCACTCCAGAAGTGGCCTGTACATCTGGCTCTACCAAATCCAAGTTTCTGAATAGGCAAAACTCTTTTACTTCCATTGCGCTTTGTATCAACCAAGTCCAAGGTTGCTAAATTAAACCATGTGATCCAGGTAAGCTACCCTTAGGGCCGTATTTTATGTTCACGCAGCTGCTCTTGAAATGAAAGCTTCTATTTCGGACAAAACAACGTGCTTGAAGCCACACAGCAATCATAACAGTCCTCTGGATGCACTTACTGCATAGCATCTTCACCTACTCCAAAACAAAACCTCATTCTGAATTACATCAGAAATCCATAAAATGGAAGCCACTTGCAAATTTATTCCGTAACAGAACATTATTTCTGCTTACATATACTACAGATAAAGATGTAATTTGGGAGAAATGACTGAGAATACAGTATTACAGAAACAAAGTTCTAGAAATTTCATGCCAGACTGAATGTGCTGATCTTATCAAATATAACCAGATCTAGGACTGCTACAGCTTCTTAATATTAGTATGCGGGGAGGGGAGAAATCACATGCAAATTTGCAGACAGGTACCAGCTAAGATGTAATGATGAAATATGTATCGGTTTCCCTGTAGTAAACCAACATTATACATTTGATGTTTTCCAGACACAAACAGCATGAATTAAAACCTCGCCTTGCTGAAGGAGCTCTCAAACGTAATACTTTCTACCATGAACTGAATTTTGTGAATGCTGAAAGCTCCGAGTCAAAAATGTTTCTGACCTCTTCAAAACAAAGGAGAAAATGGGATTAAATGGGAACACTTCTATTTTATGTCTACCAATACTTCTAAGTGTTAAACTGGCAAGGCCACCAAAATAAACTGTCTGACACTATTCTAAGTCCCAGAAGCATTTAGATGAAAGGGAAGCTAGTATCATCACTTTCAGCTGCAGTGCTGGCTTGAAAAGTTTGTAACACTATGACAATAGATACAGGCCAAACTGGCCAGCTCATGTGTATAGACAGTTCACAATCATTTTAATATAAATATTACTGCTAGCTAAATGAGCTTTAAATATCGCACTTCTGCAAAAGATGCATATAGTATTAGAGGAAATTATTCGTTCATCATTTTCTCACCCAGCTGTAGTCTTTTTAATAGAATGGACTGCTATGGTCCAGGTTTTAGACCCTCATCAGTAAATTACACCCTGTATTTGTTCTCTGAATGATCTACTTTCTTTCACAGAGTAGATACACACACATTTTTCAAGGTTACTGTAGAACATCACATTGTACCTTAAAAGGATTATTAAATCTTAGCACTACTCAGTAGGATACCTACAATTCTCCAGTTCCTTTTAATATAATTCTTGAATGTTACAGATGCACAAACTTTGATGACATTTTCCTGTGATTTCTCCAGCAGCGTTAAGAGTAACAGTGGATAATTCTGGCTTCCTTCAACTGACTCAAGAAACTTTTCCGCTGTAAGAGAATATACTAAGGTTAGCAAAAGATGAACTGATTTTTCTCACAGGAGTCCTATGATTCCTCAAGCGTCTATTTAAAATAATCAACACATGAACATTTTCTCAGAGTTTCACAAGAACAGAAACACAGAACAAGTCTGACAGAAGGTACTGTAGCTTCTTTACTACTGAGCTCTTTAACACTTCTGCTATTAATAAAAGCTCTCAGTTCAAAGCAGGACGTTGAGATATTGCCTCCTCACTGTTTTTAAAAGCCACAACCTGATAGAAGTAAATCCTGGTTTATTGTGAGCAGTAGCACTGTTTTAAATAACAACAGCACAAAAAAAACCCCACAACAAAACAGGAATACAGGAAAATACAGAAAAATACAACTGCATAAAGCAAAAAAAAAAAATTTATATTTATATCCATCCCTCATTATTTTGGGGGGGGCGTTTTAAAAGGATATTGAGAACTTCTGCAAAGAGGTTACTGCATAAACTTCTACTGAAGTTTGCTATACAGACAGAAGAGCCAAAAAGAAATTAAACTTTATTAGTCACTCATGAGATCCACTTACCAGGACGCCTTATAGCAGGATCTGGATCTAGTGTTTTCTTTAGATACTCAGTTAAAGTCTGTAAATTGGCATCACTCAGCTCCATTTTGGCAGAACCTAAAACCCACAAGTAGTTTTGTTATAAATACAGACCAGAAAAATCTATCCTATAAGCTAGACATCTGTAAAACTAGATTCCACAGAAAACACACACCAGCTCGTTTTGACTGTACCTCATAAAGCACAGTCCCATCTTATACGTCCCATCCAATGAAATGACAGCTCACATGCACCACACACAAAACAAAAACCATTCAATTTCTCCAACTACAGGTAACTGTTACCATCTAGTTTACTGAAATCAAACACCTCGAACAGGATAACACATCCAGCAAACCATGAACCAGGTACAGCCAAAAGATGATCTCTTGCCCTTGCAGGACAACAGGAGTTTGTTGTTGCTTTTGAGAACTACTGTCAGCACCAGAAACCTGTTCCTGGTTGAAAAAGCTGAATAATTCTGCCCTGCATAATCGTCAGTAGAACAATTAAATGTGTACTGGAGAGCCAAGGCTTATTTAAAATTAAATAATCATTATAAAAGAAAACTCTCAACAGAAAATTAATTTTTGATAAAGAGATAAAAGACTGTGCACAGCCAGAGTTTGTCCACCCTGTAAAATTAACTTATATTAGGGTGGGAGTTAATTTCAACCACAACACTTACTACAGAATAACTCTGTGCAATAAGTCTAAATTACTCCTCTCTAGTAATCCTCCCACACACATTCTCTTTCTTACCACTGTGATATATTAACTTCACACTTTTAATCGGAATAATTAAAATTACAGTAACACTAAAACAGTAGCAAGATGTGCTTTAATGGACACATTATTGTTCAGGATATCATCACCAACTCTGCCCATCTTTCTTACCACCAGCAGCACAGTTCACCCACTACGGAAGTAACAAGGAAGCAAAGATACCAATTTTTTCTCTGAAGTTTTTAATTAGTGAGACAGACTGAAATTTGTCCGTCCCATTTTGGATTTGTTCTATGTTGATTAGTAGTGCAATAATAACAATTTCTATTTGAGCGTGCTTGCAAAGGCAGTGTTTTAACGACACTATTTTTATTTAACCATGGCACCTGTACCATTATCTTCTTGAATTCAACAAATGTTAATGAGTAGTCAAGATCCCAACATATTTTTCAAACAGTAAAAATCCACTAAGAGAGTCCTGCCTCCCATGTTTCACTCCCCTTCCCTTTCGGGGGTTTGCTTGCTTGTAGTCTTGTTCACCAATTCACACCAACCAAAAAATCCCAATAAAGTAGAGCACAAGCAAACAACACCATTAATAGCTGGCTCATCTGTTCTACAAAATGGCCTCATGCATCATTACTATGATGTTGAAACTAATACTTAATCTTTCATAATTAAAAATATAAATTTGCTGCTCCAGGGAAGTTTGTAAGGCTGAGGCGCAAACCCACGCAGAAATCATTTCTGGAGACTAAACTTGACTCAAATGGGAAACCAAACTGAAAGAGGAGACGACAATCCTGAATTGCCTTTTACAAATCTCACACACGTACGTAATATAGGGACCCATGTAAAAAACTATGCTCCTCAAGCTGACTGTGGGTTCACTTTGAAGGCCAAACACAAAGATTTGAATCCATTACTCAACCCCTCACACAGAAGGATAAATATTTTCACCTGCTGTCTGCTCAGTCTTAGTTCTTTCTCTTCCTCTAGCTATTTTTTTTGTTTTCCACTACAAAAAAGTGGTACTTGCTAAGTGACGTGTTGCTATGTCGTGACATACGCCTCCTGACAAGGCCACAGAAAATGAGGACATTTTCAGACCACCTCTCCAGAAGGAAACCCATAAAATGTACTTAACGCATTAACTACTTCAGTCAAAATAATGACAGACCGCTTCTGGGAAAAAA